AACTTTTCCGAAAAGTTTCTTTATTTCTTTCCTGGACCTTTACATCTACAACAGTGTATTCTCTTCATTTTTCATTGCACATTTGTTTGCCCATTTGGTTACATATTCAGTTATGCAATGCTGAAACTCAGAACAATGATCACTTAGCACAATAAACACACAACTCAGTGTGCTGTGGCATATTCAGTGTAATGTCTGTTGGCATAGTGATATTTCTTTAGTTCTGCATTTCTCTGATTTTATGCCTATTTGTCATACAGTTCCTTTAAAAACTCATCTCAGATCATCACTTTTTTTTTAAAAAAAATAACCTCACCCAATTGCTTTAGCAATTTTATTACCAGCCCTAAAGCACTGGGTCTCTTTCAGCCCCCAATTGTGTGTAAACTGGAACTGAAATAAATCATGTGAACTATTTGAACATGATATTTCATATATGATATTCAAATGTGCAAATATGACATTGAAAAAAAGAGTGCTTTGGAATGTGGGGATGATTTTGATTTTGGTAAGTGGCAACTTTGAACTCTCCCATGCTGCCAATAATCACATATTATAAAACATATTGTGAATGAATGCCCCCTTCACATTGACACAGTCATTCTGGTGTTGTGGTTAGAATGTCAGACTGATTAATCTACCTGCCAAAATTTTAAGGGAAAAAAATGACATGATAAAAGGAACTGACTGCTTTTTCAGAATAAGCAGATTTTATAAGGTGATTATTTAGATTTGAATTATACACTAAGTTCTAGGATTTCTTCATTTTAGCACTTAAACATTTACAAAAATATACTAGAATATATTAATGAGAACATGTGCATCTATATCCCCTATATATAACCAGTTGACTGATGGTATCATCAGAGGAGAGCTTGTTGGTTGTCCCACAACAAAAAGAAGGTTGCTATGTAACAGTTGGGGCACCCACTCTATGGAATGCCCTCCCACGTGCCACCTGGGAGACAGAAACTGTGACACGTTTCAAACGCCTTCTGAAAACTATTTGTTTACACTGACTTTCTCTGGCTCATAATTCACAGTGATACTACTCTCTTTCATTACTCATTGTTCTTGCTGGAAGCTCTTAACTGCTCATTATGGTTATATAGTACTGTATCTATATTTTCATTGTGATTTTATAGTATATTGTATGTAAACCACTCAGAGATTTTGTTATATTAAGCTGTGCATAAAATGTTTGGACAAATTATATTTTGGACTACATCTCTGGAATCACCTGGGCAGTGGCAGTTGTAGTCCAAAAATCAACATATCCAAGCTCTTGTATATCTTATAATCTATCTATCTATCTATCTATCTATCTATCTTACATGTGAAATACAAAAGAATGAAAAAAGCAGAGAATAACATTCTAATATCCTTTTATCTCAAGAAGATCCCTTTGGCTTAGTACTTAGGGACTGCTTTCCCACAAGAACTTGCAAATGCAATCACACAATCCTTTCCTTGCAAAAAAAAAGCAGCTTATTTATATACCGCTTCATATTGCGCATGGGGTGTCTAAGCAGTTTACAACTGTGAGCTGATTGCCCCCCAACAATCTGGGTACTCATTTTAGCGACCTCGGAAGGATGCAGGCCTGAGTCGAGCCTCAACCCTGGCTGGTATTGAACTCGCAACCTTGTGGTCTATGAGTGAGTGGCTGCAGTACAGGCATTTAACCACTGCGCCACCAGGGCTTGCCCTTTCAGCTCCACCTCCCCCTTTAATAGGGGTAGCTTGTCCTTACAGTTTTCAAGAAAGAGTCTTATCTGGTCCTCTGGAGGAAAAGGGAGATTTATTTTATGACTAAACCACTAACTCCTTCCCAGGGAGAACCAACCGCAGACTGGCACAACATAGCTAGGCCAGTTTGGTGAAGGAAAGGGTCTGGAACCAGCCGCCAACCAGGGATGCCACAGGTTCTTGCCATGGAAGTAGGAAGAGAGGTGAATGAGGAACGTGGCAATTGAGGCTCCTCCTTCTCTAGCAGCCCTGATCTTTCTTTCACACTGCCGAGAAAGAAAAAAATAGGGTCAACATCTAGCACAGGAAATTTTCCCATTCCTTCTCCCCACTTACTTAGCTCCAGCAGCCATTACAAACAATTTGTTATTGTGGTTACATGTCTTCAGGTCTTTTCCTACTTATGGCAATACCAAGGAGAACCTGTCTTGGGGTTCTCTTCACAAGATTTGTTCAGAAGAGCTTTGCCTTTGCTTTCTTCTGAGGCTTGAGAGAATGTGACTTGCCCAAGGTCACCTAGTGGGTTTCCATGGCTGAGAGGGGATTCAAACCCTGCTGTCCAAAGTTATTATCCAACACTCCAACTATTACACCATGCTGACAGGGAAAGCATATCCACAATTCAGTGTGTATATGTTTACAAGAAGGAACCATCAGCCCTGAACAGTGACTGCAATAGCAGCTTCTGAGGTGGCAATAAGTAACAGTAGAAGGAGCATAGATACTTCCTGCTACCCTAGGCTGTCTGCTCCTCACCTCTGCTGCTGAAATGACATTTATAGTGACAGCTCATTCAACATATAGGGGAGCCATGTTATCCATAAGATTATTTCCAAATCCATAGCATGAGAATGCCTTTATCAAGACAACCAACAAATATCTGTGTAAGCTCTCATCATTCCTAGGACCCTTCATTGGGCAAGATGTGACAAGAAATGTTCAGGCTTCATGCTGCTTGATGAAGAAATGTAGGCATCCTGAAACCTTGCAAACCTTGGACTACTGAGAATACCAAGGCTAGCCTTCCCCTGCACTACATTCTCCCCCTAATAGTCAGTGCATGATAGCAATAAGTCACAGGAGGGCACATCTGTAACAGGGCTTTCTACATGACAAGCTAAATCTTTTTTATGTTTTATTTTTTATTTAAAATTTAATAAATTTTTATTGATTAAAATCATCGTCATTTCCAATCATATTACATATAACATAAGTTCATAAGAAAAAACGCTCTATATACAAAAGGAGAATAACAATTAAACAAATTATCAGTAAAAAAAAAAGAAAAGAAGAACGGGGAAAAAAAAGAATCGAAAAACAAAATAAAGATAAACACAATATAACAAAGACTTCCAAAGTCTGATACATCTTGCGGTTTAGTCAGTTATTATAACCTCTTCTTGCGCTCCGATCAGGAGATCTAAGTGGTCATTCAGTATAATCGGTGTAATAATAATCATTATAGACAAATAACATATCCTATATTAGCACATATTTATTATCATGTTCACAGATCAACATTTTGTTCTTAATACTCCCTTACTGAAGAAAAGAGAAAAACTCCATTTATTTGATCATCTATATCTTTAGTCTGATACCACGTAGGGCTAAATTGTAAATCCATGGCTGCCAGTCTTTTTTAAATCGTTCATAGTCATTTCCTCTAATCAGACTCGTCAGCCTATCCATCTCCATATATTCAAGTATTTTAGAAAACCAATCTCGCAGAAGAGGTATATCTTTCTTTTTCCAATTTGCAGCATAAAGGATTCTAGCAGCAGAAAGAGAATAAAAAACCAATTTCCCATGTTTTTTCTCTAGAGATTCATCAAGATTTATTCCCAACAGGAAAATTTGTGGTTCTAATTTAATAGTACAATCTAATACCTCACTTAATATAGACCTAATGTTCTCCCAATACCTCTGTGCTTTTTTACATTTCCACCAGAGGTGATAAAAGGTTCCAGTTTTTTCCTTACACTTCCAACAAATGTTTGAATGGGACTTATACATTTTGGCCATCTGAACTAGCGTAAGGTACCACCTGTACATCATCTTGTAAAAATTTTCTTTTAAATTATTACTCAGGGTAAAGTTCACTCTTCTAGTCCAGCATTTTTCCCATTCTGAAATTGCTATTGTTTGTCCAAAATCCTGGGCCCACTTAATCATGGAAGGTTTAATCACTTCCGATTCAAATTCTATTGTTTGCAGCATTTTATAAAATTTGGAGATCTTATGCTTATCCTTAGACCAAATAATATCTTCTAGCTGTTGATCAATTTGTCCTATCTTTCTTGTTTTTTGATCTAATTTAAATCTTTCTTTTAACTGTCTATAGGAAAACCAATTATACTTATAACCCTCTTGATTCAATTGTAATTGTGATTTAATTTCTAAATTCGTACCTTCTAGAACCAACAATTCCTCATAAGTTATCCATTTAGTCTTTCCAAATTTATTATCTTTTGACACTACCTCACCAATTGATGTCCATAACGGAATTGCGTCAAACCAATTGTTTTTAACTTTATTCCATACCCTTAAGAGAGACTTTCTAATATAATGATCGTTGAAAAGTTGATGGCATTTTAATTTCTCATAAAATAAATAACTGTGCCATCCATATACATTATCGAATCCCTCTAATTTGAGATTTTTTTCATTTACTAACTGGAACCAGTCGATAAGCCAAAAAAGAAAGCAGGCGTAGTAGTAATTTTTTAAATTTGGAAGGCCTAGTTCTTTTGAATCTTGTAGAAGCTTAAATTTTACTCTTGGTTTCTTCCCGGCCCAAATAAATTTTGAAATTTCAGTGTTCCAATCCTTGAATGGCTTTACATGACAAGCTAAATCTTAATTGACCAATGCTCCTGTCCTCGTGGATGGACCCTGACAACATATTCCCTTCACATTGACACTATCTGGAGGCAGAGAATTGTAGACTTTGGCATTTATGGGCACATAGGGTAACTGCTAACCCACACAGTCTCTATAACCTCTTCACAAGTCAGTACCTTTAAGTGTACAATACATGAACAGGGCTTAAGTACTGATTACATATGATCAGGGAGATATCATTGATGATACCCCATTGTCATTGTTGTTGTGTGCCTTCAACTCATTTCTGACTTATGGCAACCCTAAGGGTAACCTATCATGGGGGTTTATTGGCAAAATTTGTTCAGAGGAGGTTTGCCATTGCCTTCCCCCGAGGCTGAGAGCATGTCAAGGTCACCCAGTGGGTTTCATGGCCAAGCAGGGAAGCAAACCCTGTTCTCCAGAGTCATAGTCCAACATTCAAACCATTAAGCCACACTGGCTCTTACCCACTGTAATATAGATATCAAATATTCAACAATTATTTACCATGCATTCCAGCAATATTCTGGGAATATGTGACATCACCATATGTAGAAGAAAGTCTTTCAGAAAAAACATGTTTCAGTTCTAAAAGGTCACTAGATCTCTTTATTTATTGGTTGAAAAGTTTAGCAGTGCATATAAAATTAAGAAAAGAAGATTAATCTTTGAAAAGCAGATTGCACATCAAATATGGGTCTTGCTTTCTCCCCTTCTCTTAAAAACAAAAAGCTTTCATAGTCTCATGATCTAATGGAGAAAGACAGACCGACTCTGCACGGTGGCTTCACACTGATCCCAGACTGGGTTCATGTATTGCTACTACATACCACACTTTTTAGCACCAATAGTCATGAACTCATCCATTGCAATCCTGTTCTTTCAAGTAGATATTTTCCATTCCAAAAGAATCATTTTCCAGTTTCTGCTAATCAGCTGTAGGATACTTTCTTGTCAGCCAATAAAACTAGGCAAACAGGATGTGGAAAGAGTGTATCAGCACCAGGACGCTTGTGAAAAAGGAAGGATGTTGGCTTAACTAATGCCATCTGTTTGAATTCAATCATCCAAGATACACAAGTACCTTATAAGATTGCAAACATGAGAAAATAAATGAATAGCTCTCTAACATCTATGAGGGAATGTATGCTGAGTTATATTTTCTATCCTCAAGCAAACAAAGCATCATTGAAAGGTTTTTGTGGGTTTTTTGGGCTGTGAGACCATGTTCTAGAAGAATGTATTCCTGACATTTCGCCTGCATCTGTGGCTGGCATCTTCAAAGAACAAAGCATCATTGAAATGATTCATGCTATCCTTACAGGCCCTTTATACTATACTCTTACTCTTTCTTCAAGGACACATTTTATAGTATCTATAAAGTTTATAGATTAACAAATGTCCTTGAAGTTGAAGCAAAAGCATGAGATTACATAGGTGGTATAAAAGTATTTGATGCTAAGGCAGCAGGAACATTTAAACAGTTTTTCCCAACATTCAACTTCAAGATAATGTTAGAATATTACTCTTACCATCCCTGGACATCATTATACCTACTGGAGGAGAATGACAAGAGTTGTAGTCCCAACACCTCAAAATGATGCCAAGTTGGGAAAGGCTGCTTCAGTGGTCCCCCATTCCATTATGGTTGCATAATGGCTCTAATTTGAATTCTACAGCTATATCTAGAGGTAAAGAAGAAACCTTCCATTATGGCACATATCACAAAGACAACTATTTCATTAATTGCTCCATGACTCTACCAAGGATGTGCTTCAATTTGAAGTAGGTTTCCCTCTCTTATTTAGTTAATATCTGGAAAGTAAGCAACTGTTAGTTCCAACCAGTCAACCCACTGAATGAATTAGGATGGAGCAAGTTTCTTTTCTGCTGCTCCAGAGAATAGGAACTGGAGTAATGGATACAAATGACAGGAATAGAGATTCCCCCTCAATGTTAGGAAAAACTTGCTGACGGTAAGAGCTGTTCAACAGTGGCATGTGCTGCCTCAGTGTGGTGGAGTTTTCTTCTTTGGAGGCTTTTAAACAGAGTCTGGATAGCCATCTGTCAGGGGTGCTTTGAATTTGTATTCTTGCATGACAGGGAGTTGGACTGGATGGCCCTTGAGGTCTCCTCCTATGATTCTATGAATGGGATCTTTTATTTAGTTAATATCAGGAAAGGAAAAAACAAACAAACAATGGGCTAAATCCATCTGTTAATTTCAAGCATTTGACCAATTAGTCAATACATGTGATTACTATTGATTCAAAGCTCTATTTGGATCTAAGGTTGTACCTACACTGCAGAAATAATGCAGTATGACACTACTTTAACTGCCACAGCTCAAATGCTATGGAATCCTTGGATTTATAGTTTGTTGCAGCATCAGAGCTCTCTGACAGAGAAGGCTAAATATGTTACAAAACTACAAATCCCAGGATACTGTATCATTGAGCCATGAAAAATAAAGCAGTGTCAAACTGACTTATTTCTACAGTGCAGATGCAGCCTAAGATTTGGATGTGGCCCAGTGTTTGAAAACTTGCTGCTTATTTGCCAAATATGCAACAGTATTGCTCATATTCTAGAAACCCTTCTTCATGAAAAGAGTAAAATGTTGATGTAGGAGGAACAGGATGGTAAGTGCACAGAATCACTACAAAAAGTAGAGGTACTAAAGATAAAATCAGAACATTCAGCTAGGCAGGTGATAGAAAACTTGTGGGGTACTTGTTCACCCAACTAGATATCCACTAAAAGGAAATTTCTCAGAAAGAAAGGAGTTAACTAATTTCCCCACCTTTGGAAAAAATGTACACAATTTTTTAATTTATTAATTGGCATTTCAGCTTCTATGGAAGTTAATGGTGATATTTTCAAGACACTAATAGAGTAATTCATAACTAAGCCAGCATTTTTTACAAATACAAGGTGGCTGTGAAATGAAATAACTGTTCTCTCAAAAACAATTGGGTAATGTTGGCTGGTATATATATCATTCACTTCCATCCAGTCATGACTATTTAATGATTCCAAGCTCTAGGGATTCTCAGTTAACAGGGGAATTCTCATGTCATAGGGATGAACACACACAAATCTAGAATAACCTGATTAGTTTGATTTTAATATCTAACTGTATTTTGGAGGCTCTGGATGGCTGACAATTGTGAATTAAACAGTGAAATTAAACAAAACTGCCAACATTGCCTCCTTTTATACCCTGATAACAGATGTCTCCCACAAACCAGAAAACTATATGGACGTTATCACACGTAGGCCAGTTTCGTTGTTAAAGAGATAATAAAGTGGAAATGAAGCATCCTGAAAAGAAAGCGAAAATAGAGCTTAATTATGCAAAAACGTTTCACACGTAATTACAGTAATAACGGAATTAAGTTAAAAGCGAAAAA